GGGTTCAATTGATTTTCCTGCCTCAGCCTTCTGAGTAGCTGGAATTATAGGCTCCTGCCACTATCCCTGGCTAATTTTTTGTATTTTTGGTAAAGATGGGGTTTTGCCATGCTGGCCAGGCTGGTCTTGAACTCCTGACCTCAGGTAATCCACCTGCCTCAGCCTCCCAAAGTGCTGGGATTACAGGTGTGAGCCACTGTGCCCAGCCTTTTCTCTACCTTTTTATTCGGTTTAAGCCCTCAGCAGATTGAATGATGCCAGTTCACACTGGTGAAGGCAAATCTTCGCTCGGTCCACTGCTTCAAACACTCATCTCTCCTAGCAGCACCCTCACAGACATGCCCAGCCTCTTACCAGCTATCTGGGCAGCCGTTAGCCCAGTCATGCCGGCACATAACCTTCACCACCACGGTGGAGGTGCTGCAGTGAGGGTGGGCAGCCAGGTCTCGAGATCTGAGCTGGTGGCATCCATAGGCCTCACAACTGCAGGTGGACAGGTTCCAGGAGAAGGGCAAGACCCGGAGCACTTGGTGACTCAGAAGACATGTGGCTGTTTGTTTGCAGAGCATGAATAGCAATTGCCTTTCCTGCCTCTACCGTCTGGCTCTGGTGACTCCATTTCCTTTTATTCTTTTTCAGTTCAGTGCTTCCATTCAGAAGATAGTTTGAGAGGTCTTAAGATATGAAATAAAAGGAGAAAGTTGGTGGGAACATGTCAATATTCTCCTCTTGATGTTTGTAAAATTAGGGTATATGGAGTCTATTCAAAATGTTAAATTATTGATGTCTTAAGAATTGAATTCCTGTTAGCAACTCTCAGTAGGTAATGTTTAGATCAGTATCTATCAGTAGGTACCATTTTAATCATTTAGTATCTATTACCCACTGTAAATTGTGTTCTATAATGGCAATCATTGCAAACACCTATCCATGAGATGGATTTTATCATAATTTCTGTTTTCAAGATAGGAGAAATGTAAAGGATTGAGAGACTTACCAGAGATCACAGAGCTAGTGAGTAGCTGAGCCAGCATTTGAACTCATAACTTCCTGACATCAGAGTTGAGCACTTAAGCTCCCATATTCTGCTGACAGCCTAATTATTGCCACTTTCCCATTGAAATGATTACATAAAACTTTCTCTTCTTTTCTTCCAAAATGAGTGTCTGAAGTGAGTGTTTGAACGTGGCATGGTTTGTTCAGGAGATTGGAACTCACTGAGGTGCTGAAGGAGACCAGCAGCTCTCAGGAGTGCAAACCTGCACTATTTCTTCAATTCTGAGGCTTGTGAATGCCGATTCCCGTTCTCCGGCTGTGCTTTTTTCTGTGTTATGTTGTCAAGGTTTTGTAGTGGTTAAGATGCCTACATATGAACCAGCATAATATATTTGCAAGTAACATAAAGCTCAGGTTTTACTTGGTTTTTCTTGCATATGACATTAGATCTGTTAAGCCTCCTGCAAATTCCATGCCATTTAACCAGTATTTTGTTCTGGCAATCATTGTGAAACTTTAGTGCTACAACCATCTCTCTTTATTATTTTAAGCCCTGTGTGGAGGCTACATCCATGGAAAGAGTGGAACAGTCCTTTCTCCTGGGTTTCCAGATTTTTATCCAAACTCTCTAAACTGCACGTGGACCATTGAAGTGTCTCACGGAAAAGGTAAGAACCTATCATAGGTCTCAAACATACCAACAAGTAAATGAGACAGAAACGTGGGAACAAAACCGAAAACATATTACAGTGTAAACAAGTGAGATAACTACTTTTCTCACGTATAGTTCATAACTTTGACTTATTATTTAATAAGATTTTGGAAGAAAAAATAGTCTTTCAACTGTATAATAAAAACAGATTCCTTGTTTTGCTCTCTGTTTATCAGATAACCTGAATATATGCATGTGAATAAAAGCTTGAAATCTAGGTACCGTGGTAAGGAATGAAGGCATCTATTCAATAAAATGTGACAATTAAATAAAAGGAAATAAGTGATTGTCTAACTTCTAATTTCCATAATAAATCTGGGACGGTTTTTGTACTTTCCTTGTATTTTATGTTTACCCCGTATCATCACACATAATGAATAATTTATCTTCACATAATCCAGAGATGCCTCATGGAATAGATATTTCTATCCTCAATTATACATAAGCGTAGTGAAGACCAGGATATTTTGCACTTTGTGTAGGAAATGTAGATTATAATCACTAGGTTTAGGATCGTAGCCTGACTCTTTTTCCTGTGACTGAACTTGTCATTTTTAAGAGTCTATTTGGGGCCAGGTGAAGTGGCTCATGCTTGTAATCCCAGCATTTTGGGAGGCCAGGACAGGCATATCACCTGAGGTCAGGAGTTCCAGACCAGACTAGCCAATATGGTGAAACCCGTCTCTACTAAAAATACAAAAAAAATTAGCCAGGCATCGTGTACATCCCTGTAATCCCAGCTACTCTAGAGGCTGAGTCAGGAGAATGGCTTGAACACAGGAGGCGGAAGTTGCAGTGAGCTGAGATTGCGCCACTGCACTCCAGCCTGGGAGATAGAGCGAGACTCTATTTTAAAAAATAAAATACAAAAGAGTCTGTTTGAAATTTCAATCACATAAGTGTTATGTAGACTTTGTCTTTTCACATAGATTTGAACCCTAGTTAATATTAAATGGCTACATTTTATTATGTATACTGTGTGACACTATGTATGCTACCATGAATGACAGGAAAGAAGAAGTTGCTCTGAAGGAAACTGAGCATAAAGGAGGCACAGATTATGAGTGACCAAAGTTTTATAATCATAAAAATACACATTTTTATTAGAAGGTATCTATTCACAGTTAATTTTATTGATTTCACTATAGGAATCCAGAAATAAGACTTTGTAGTTGTGGTTACTATGAGGTCATATGCTTTAGGGGCATCTGAAACTACATTTTTAAGGAAGTTTTTCCTCATTTATACTGACCTCCAACTAAGATTTTTCTAAAGGACACTTGTTTAGTGTAAATTGAAAAATCGTCTGGTCCTTTGTCCCTCAGGGACAAATACTGTCCCTAAGAGCCTACTGACAATTTTTGAATGAAGCCCATTGTAAACATTCTCACCTGTTTTTCTTAAATATCCATATCTATGCCAATATCTACATCTATACCTGTATCTATATATCGCTACATCTATAATCTCCTTATCTACCTCAGTATTCGTATCCACATCATATCTTCCTATTTACGTCATATCTGTACTTATATGCACTTAAGTATTTATTTTTGTTGTTTATCCCCTCTGCTTTTTTTCAATTCTAAAGCCATCCTCTTTCCACCCATTTTCCTCTTGAACTTCAAAGCTAGACTTACATATTAAGAAAACATTTTAATATTTTGATTAAGGCTTGGTGTGTCTAAGTCCAGAAAAAAATTTTCAGCAACTGTTAGCTCTCCTAACCTCTCTCTTTTTCTCTCTCTCCTCTACCTCTCTCTCAATCTCTGTCTCATCTCTCTATCATCTCTGTCTCTGTGGCTGTTACTCTCTGGAACCTGTCTTCCCCTGTCATTTCCTCTTCCTCTCCATTTCTTTCATCTCTGTCTCTGTCTCTGTGTCTCTCTGCCCCTCTCCCTCTCTGCCCTCCGTGTCTCTTTCTCTCTCTCTCTCTCCCCTTCATTTCTCAGGAGTTCAGATGATCTTTCACACCTTTCATCTTGAGAGTTCCCACGACTATTTACTGATCACAGAGGACGGAAGTTTCTCCGAGCCCGTCGCCAGGCTCACTGGGTCAGTGTTACCTCATACGATCAAGGCAGGCTTGTTTGGAAACTTCACTGCCCAGCTTCGGTTTATATCAGACTTCTCAATTTCATACGAGGGCTTCAACATCACGTTTTCAGGTATGTTGGTCTTGTTTGCTGTTTCTCTCCTGTGGCGACAATACTGCTATTTCTCTTCGTGAGAATGTGTGTGAGAGAGAGTGTGTGTGTGTGATGTGTGCATGAGTGTGTGTTTGTGCATGCGTGACTGCAGGCATGATTCCAACCAATGGGGTGCAGGAAGCTGAGCCTTCACAAAGCAGGGTACAAGTACAGTTATGTGGCATCCAGAAAATGCCACTTTGTGTTACACAATCTGTGAATTCTCATCTCTGAAAAATCTGTAAATGTCACTATCTTCTGCAAAGCCCTTCTTACTCGATTCTCTTCACCAACTCTACAAGATCTCTGAGGAAAGTTTCCTCATTGGGAGGAGTCCTCAGGGTCAGTTATCACCTGATTGCATTGGTTTCTACCCTTCATAGTTGCCAATATTTGCATTGACAACCACCTCTGGATGAAAGAAGCACGTGGACACACACAGTTGAGGATGAGCTTATAGTTTCATGTATTCATATGCAGTGACAAAAAATACTGCAAGTTAGGTAACATCATTATTTTTAATGATAATATATAGATAATATTTTCACAAGGTTTATATTACAGCAGAAATTATTTGTATGGGTTAGCTTGTTTAATTTGTATAGTTTATGACATAGATGCTCTTTTTTTTACAGATACAAAAAAAATTTACCCCCACTTAAAAGCTGACCAAACATGTGAGAGATAAACATGGTCATATAAACAAAATGTGAATGGGTCACATTTGAGTGTGAATGGGTCACACTCAGAACCTCTGCAATATCTTCATTTCCAGCACTCCCCTACCCTCTGCCAACAGAAAGGGCCCTGCTGCCAATGGATAGGAACAATCACATTAACTTGCATTTGTGCATATGATGCTTTGGACAAAGAGAGTTTTCCTTCTTTATTCCTCATAGCCCAGATCAAATGTAATTTTCATAAGATGGTCCCTGGGCACCACAGTCACCTGTAATTTATTCTACTTTTGAGATCTCAGAAATTCCTTAATAACTTTTGATGCCACTTATGAGATTATGTGTTGCAATATTTGAGTATGTATCTTATCCCCCAGACTAAGACTAAAAATCTTGGTAGAAAGTTTGCTTGCCCCACTTTTATATAAACAGCAGCTCTACTGCTGTATCTTACTCATAAGTAAGATGAGTTATTCGTAAGTAAGATGATTTTCCACTATATGGGGATTGACACCTCTAACCCTTGTATTATTCAAGGTCAACTGTACTTGAATAATAAGTGGGTTAGGGGTGTCAACCCCCGCACAGTGGAAAATCTGAGTATAACTCTTAACGCCCCCAAATCTCAACTACTAATAGGCTACTGTTGACCAAAGGCCTACAGTCAATTAACACATAAATAAACTAGTATCTACATATATTTTGTGCTTTCATGACATACCTAACATTTAACTAATTTTTAAGATCTGTCTTGATGGCACAGTTCATCTGCATGTGTTTTGAAGTTGTAGCAAATCTCCAAAAAATTGCCAATATGTTTATTGAAAACAATTCATGTTCCAATGGACTCAAGTAGTTCAAACCCACACTTTTCAAGAGCCAACTATAAGAAGAACTTCACGATTGCCTACTAACTACTGCATGATGAGTAGCATTATGTAAAATAAAATAGTGTCTTCAAGGAAAATATTTCTTGGGGATTTCAAGATGCTCTGAACTATTTTCTCCTCCCTGTAATTCTACCTAGTTGCCATTTATCTTAATCTGACTTTGTTGATTTTTCTTGGTATTTCACTGCTCACGTGAAGCTTTCAAGACTGGCTCAGACCACTTGAGTTCTTGGAAATTTGTTATAATCAGCAGTAATCATGAAACGTGCCACTTTATATATCAAAGACTTAAATCTTTCCAACACTAATTCCTAAATCCCTCTCTCTGTGCATTCTCCCCTGGTGTATCGCAATTAGTATCACTATGAGAATATCACTTCCTCCTGTTCTTACTTTCATCATGATCCAAAATGAATTTAAATAGACTTCTCCAAAAAAAGAAAATGGCAGCAACGCAAGTCTGTTGTTCACTTCTGCAGGTGTTTCTCAGGAGTCTACGCAAACTCTGTTCATTTTACTGCATCAGTTTCTTATTCCGGTGCCCTTAGCACAGGGCTGACAGTAACTCTTTTGATGACTACTGTCTTAGTCTGTTTGTGCCACTTGCCATAATAGAATACCTGATAGTAAGTAATTTATAAATAATAGAAATTCGTTTCTCAGTTCTGGAAGCTGGGAAGTCCACGATCAAGGTGCTGGCGTCTGGGGTGAGCCTTCTTGCTGTGTCATCACATGGCAGAGGATATAAGACCAAAAAGGGAGGATCACCATGTCCCCATGTGGTAGAAGACCATAAGTCCTTTTATAATGGCTTTAATCCATTAATGAGGGTGGATCCCTCGTGACATAAACATCCCCAAAAAGGGGATCAAATTTCCAGCACATGGATTTTGGGTAACACTCTCGGACCATACAAATAACCAAAAGTCAGAATTGAACTACACAGCTGACATTCTCATTATAAACTACTTATACAAGCAAGCAAGCCAACAACCACATACTCTTTCATGGATCTTTAAAGTGGTAACAGTCTGTAAACATTTAGAACAATTCATCTCAATATAACCAGTAGAAAATAATACCTAAAACCTGCAGAAGAAATCAATTCCGTCTAGACAGTTGCACACAAGCAGAAAGGTTTTTAAAAAATAAAAATAAAAAAAATAACACTTTTGATTGCAAAGCCAACTTTAAGGTAAACAAGTTCCTTAGATATGTTAGAGGAGTAATTTCAATTGGAAAGATTTTTGCCTCGAAACTGGGCTGCACACAATTGCTAGTGACACTGATACCATGGAGTTTATTTTTTAAGTATACAAATAACAAGCAACGTTATCATACAAATGAAGCATTTACCCATCCAGAGACTTTGTTGTTTATCATGAATGGCATTCAGATGCTTTTATATCTGCCTTCTTTCCTGGTAATCGAGTTTATTTCTGCCTTTCTCAGAAGGCCTTAATAAAGCAGTATTTCCTGATTTTGTTTCCTAGTCAGTATTTCTGCAGATGTTAATGGTAACATTGTAGAAAAAGAGCCCCATATTCCAGTTGGTTTAGCTAAATCTGCGCAATCCCCATTTTACATAACATTGTCTGCTACTGGTTGCTAACTGTGTGCACTGGATACTCCACACTTACTTTCCCACCCGCTTCGATGTGTCTGCTTCTTGAATGCTAACTTCTAGTGAATTAGCATCATTTCTCAGTCATTCTCTTCAAAAGGTTAAAACTTGGATAACTTTGTGACTTCACATATGTGGTTTTCTCTTCATTCAAAAGCCTTGGTGGCAGGCATCTGTAGTTCCAGCTACTCAGGAGACTGAGGCAGGAGAATGGCATGAACCTGGGAGGCGGAGCTTGCAGTGAGCTGAGATGGTGCCACTGCAGCCTGGGTGACAGAGCGAGACTTTTTTTTTTTTTTTCCTCCTAAAAAAAACCTTTTCTGCGTCTTTCGTGAGGCAAAACTCCTCCTGTCCAGGTCAGAGGGTGTCTCTGACATGCAGCCTTTCTTCTTTTCCCTACGCAGAATTTGTTTTCTTCTGTATAACATAGGAGAAAAACGTTTCCATGACAATGGTTTCACACCAAAATTATTTATTTCCCAAAATTACTTTTCTGTATTTGCCTCCTTCAGTGGTACCATGAATTTTCAAATGAGGATACTCATTTGAAATGTTTCTTCTTCTGTGGTTGAGTCATGAGGACCTGGGACAGAGGAGAGTGTACTCATTCTTTAATTGCCTAGGCAGGTCTCTTTGACAGGCTGAGACTTGATTGTGAAGCAGAGAATGGACAGTCCAGCTAATTTGGGTGGGCTATCAGCAGAAGGAGGTGCAACAGGAGGACCAGGCCACCAAATTTAGGATAAAGAAGAGGGGCACTGTGGCCAGACCAACCCCTGAAACTGAGGGGAAAGTGGAAGGATGTGAAGTTAGTTATGGAGGGCACATAACATAAGTAACTTGGATGTTAACTGTGAATGTTGCATGAAGCCATTGAATGGATTTGAAGAGCTTGACGTGATCTGACTTTTTTCAATGTTATTTGAAAGATAATGTGTGAGTCTCAACAGGAACATGTTATACAATCCCAGCAAGAGATGCCAGATGGAAGCTCAGACTACAGGAAGGATGCTAGGGTAGAGCTGATTTTATTGGTAGGAAGCGAAGGTGTGACATAAAATACAGAGTGGGGTCAAGGTTTTCAACCTGCATGAATGAGGATGCTATGCTTTGCATCAAAAACACTAAGAGTAAAGCAGGTTTGGGAAGAAAATACAGGCTTTTTCTCTTGCGGATCCTGAGGGATGTATTCAAAAGCAACTGACAAGAGTCTTCAGTTCATATAACAGGATCATATTAAAGAAAAAGAAATACTGGAAAGCCATCAGCAGAGTTAATTTCAACACATGGGGCAGCAGAAGATCTGAATCAGCCAATTGAAACGTTGGGTCCAGTGAGTTAGGAGGAGAGTGGCATCCCATAAGCTAAGAAAGGACAGCCTTTTAAGAAAGAAGAGAGCATTCAACTGTTTTAAAACCTACTTAGTAAGAGAAGGACTAAGAATTGACCATTGGTTTTTGCATCTGGAGGTCACTGTGACTTTGGTAAGATGTATTTGAATGGAAGGCTGTGAAGGAAAACCTGAATAGATGAGATGAAGAGAGGCTTGGAAGGGAAGTTGGGAAAATGGAAGATACACCCAACACTTTGAAAAGTTTGTGCTAATGATAACCAGAGAAATGATATGGTGGTTGGGTGACTGTGAAGTCCAGAGATTGGTGGTGTTAGTTTGTTTTGTTGGTTGGTTTGGTTGTTTACCTCATTCTTAAGATTGATGTATTTTTTATCTTGATGGAAATAAGAGAATTGATGAGGAAAAGAAAAAGGATAAACTCCAAGAACAAAGTGTTTGAGTAGGTGAGAAGATGGAATTCTGAGGACAATACACTTTTCTTGGGTTAGATGAAGATGAACATGTACATAGTGTAAATACACTTTGTATAATAGCGATTAAGTGACAATTAATGTAAGAGAATCCTTACAAAGCCTAATCGAGATGGTTACAACTAATACACACCTTCTAACTTCATGATATTGTTTCAGGCTTTCTGTCCTTTTAAGTATCTTTCAGAGGATATTGTATAAACTATGGAGTAAAAATATACACAAAGCAAAGAACCACAGGATCATGGTGTTTCTTTATATAAGATAATAGGTATAGCATCTAATAATATCAAATTATTCTCCTAGTTGGCAAGACTTTTCAGTTGTTTTTAAAGAAATGACAGGAAACGTATGGTTTGAGTTGAGTGTATACAGTATATCCTTAGATAGAAAAAAAATAACAGCAAGGTGTCAGATAGTAATTCTAGTACAAAATGTTGTCTCCTACTTTTCAATCTCACACTGTTTACAGATTGAAAATAAACAGAGGAAAATTCCACTATTCCTCACTGAGGTGTATTCTAGAGGTGAAATTGGCTGTGATAAGCTTTCCACAAACACAGCCCTGTGCCTTTGCTTTTATGTTATGCTTCATGCCTTAGTTATCAAAAAGCACCTTTGGGAGGGATACAGTAACCAATTTAAGCAATTAGAAATATCAGTGAAATTATTCCACACTCTCAAATTGACAGTTTTGAAGTGAATTTTCTCACTTTAATATGCTATTTGTCTGTTTGTCTTCTAGTTACATAATAATTCTACACATTTATGGGATGCATGTGATATTTTGATACATGAGTAGAATGTGTGACAAACATATCAAGATACTTAAGATACCCATCACCTCAAACATTTATTACTTCTTTGTGTTGGGAACATTTCAAATCTTGCCTTTGAGCTATTTTGAAATGTACACTTTATTATTACTCTCCATGGTCACCTTACTCTGCTATCAAGTATTAGAACATATTCCTTCTAACTGTATCCTGGTATCCATTGACCAACATCACTTTATCCTTCCCTCCATACACCCCCTCCCCAGCCTCTAGTAACTCTCATTCTGACTTGTCAATTAAAAAAAAATGCTAAATCCCATGTCATTTGTCATTAGACAGTTCATAGTACAAGACAAAAAATGCACGTAACAGTTATAAGTGTTTGGGGAAAATATATATGTAGATTTATTTTTTGTAATAGCACCTTTCTACTCTTGCTATTTAATCAGTGTGTATTTACCCAAATCCTCATGCATTTACTCTGTCTCTACATGCCTCAGAGTATGACCTGGAGCCGTGTGATGATCCTGGAGTCCCTGCCTTCAGCCGAAGAATTGGTTTTCACTTTGGTGTGGGAGACTCTCTGACGTTTTCCTGCTTCCCGGGATATCGCTTAGAAGGTGCAACCAAGCTTACCTGCCTGGGTGGGGGCCGCCGTGTGTGGAGTGCACCTCTGCCAAGGTGTGTGGGTAGGTGGTCACACGCTTTCATTTCATTCATCCATGGGGGCAGGGCATAGCCCAGGCAAGAAGCCCAGGGTGGTCGGGACGGGGTGGGGGGTTGTTGACAAGGAACGTGGGGGTGAGAGTATGGGCCTCACTCTGCAAAGCAGGGGAGAGGGGAGCTGCCTAACTGCTCTGGGCTTGAATGAGCTCATCTATAATGTAAGTCCCTTTCTGCTCTGAAATTTTATGATTGAACAAGAGAGAAACCAAAGCATGTGTCAAGCATATTTATGAAGGGAAGCAAAAAAAATATATATATATATATATATCCACATATATATGAGAGAGAGAGAGAGAGAAAAAAAAAAATCTGGAGCAAAAGAAAACAATGAAAAAGAAAGAAACCAAGCAATAATAACACAACCTCTGACAATTATATTGGTTAAAAGCAGCACGTGTCCCTTGGTATAACGATGGTGACAATTTCGTTTTTGTTGTCAGTTGTACCCTTTGATTGGATGATGGTTGCACACTCCTGCTAAGTGGGCACGATAGGCATTTGAATGCTGAATTTGCTTTTTCAGTGTGTTCTGGAGGAATCCAAGAGAGAATTCCAAAGAGTAACAGGAACTTTTATTTCGGTACCTTGAAATGAAGTCCTGGGCTCACGTGCTGGTACTGGCGTGTTGATCCGGTAGGGCGGTGTTTATTGGCAATCTGGAAACTGTGCCACTGTAAGAAGTTTAGCAAAGGAGAATCGTAACTGCTGTCGTAGCTTAAATAGGGTGTGTTGCCCACACAGCCAGAGCTCTCGTAGTTAGCTGTGCAGATAAGGTCTGGTTCCTGCCACAGCAACCCAGCCATGTTGCTCAGCATATTCTGGGCCTTACGAATTGTTCTTTAAAGTGACAGAAAACTGACTAATGTCGTTGTGAAGAAAAAAGGGAGGTGAGAGATTAACCAAGGTTCTCCTTAACACCAAGCCTTCTGAGTCCATGGAGTCCAGAATACGAACCACACTAATTTAACCAGTTAACGAACTGGAGGCAGGTGGGGGAGGTCTGAAGATAAAATGTAATAATCCATGTAAAACACAAACTTGTTCACTTAGCATGACTTGTTTAGCATAACTGGTTTTATTTTACCATGGTGTAGAATCTCTTTGATTTTTTTGGAGTTGCTTGGGAATATTATGTAACTCAAATGATAAAGCTCTCTTTTTGAATGTTGATGAGCCAGAGAGACACATAGTCAGAATTTCATTATTAAAAAAATTAAACAAAA